TACTACTACGTACTACTACTGCTACTACTCTACTAGAATTAAGTCACCGTGCTGTAGGGAACCTAATTGTGGTCGTTGGTGGGTTTCTCAATAACAACACGCCAATGTTTTGAATACCCCGTCCTTCGAACAATGCTACTTATTTTCGGGTCTCCAAAAACACTTTGATTTCAGTGCCTCTTTTCTGTTGTTGCTGCTTCAGTCTTCCTGATGGTCGCTTAGATGTTTCCAGGCCCGTAAGAATACAATACAACATAATTTTGGAAACCCCGAAGGTAAGCATGTTTGGACGAAATCGTCAACACATCGGCGCAGGCGTGGTGTTTTTGAGAACGTGGAAGCAGCAATATGCAGTGCAGGAACATCTCATAATCCCGCCCTGCCTCCCTCTTCCCCCCTGCTATCCTGCAGAAGTGCGAAACTACCAGGGAGCCTGGCAGCGAAAACGAGCCACTACTAATTACTTCTACCACCACCACCACCAGCAGCAGCAGCAGCACCTGTTGCGCCACGGCTCGTGGCCCAAGGCACTATAGACACTGAAGCGCCCTAAAGCCTGAATCCCTAAAACCCAAATTCAAACCCTCACCCAAAGCCTCGACCCCTGGGCTCCCGGGCCTATGCTGTATCAGCTCATGCCCTCGAAGCTCGATCTGACCGTCGTCCGAGATGGTGCGGCCATCGATCTTCATCAAGACCTGCAGAAGGTTGGGTTAAAACGAAGAGGTTCTTTCAAAACTGTGTCAGGCTTCCATTTTACAGAGGTCCAGGAGTTCTTTTTTGTTTGTTTTTTATGGGGTCTCACATGGCTTTCGAGTGGTATGCGGATGCTCTTCGACAGGGATCTGGGTGGTGGTTCCGACCTAAACCCCCCAAACTACCCTCTAACAGACCCTGAATACCCGCTACTAAGGGAACCCTAAACCCTAAACCCTAAACCCTAAACCCTAAACCCTAAACCCTAAACCCTAAACCCCTAAACCACTACTAGGGGCCTTTAAGGGGCTCTATTAAAGGGCGCTTTGGGGGATCCTGGCCCTGCAAAAATTGAGAATTTGGGTTTAGGGTTCAGGGTTTAGGGTTTAGGGTTTAGGGTTTAGGGTCGACTTTGCATTCAACCCTGGGGTTCACGTCTGACAAAGTGGGCTGCAGGTTCTTAGGCTTCGGGTTTAGGGTGTAACTTCGGGCTCAGGTTTTAGGGCTTCGGCTTTAGGGTTTAGGTTTTAGGGTTTAGGCTTTAGGTTTTAGGGTTTAGGGTTTAGGAAGTTTAGGTTTTAGGGTCTAGGGTTTAGGGTTTACTGCTGAAGGGTTGAAGGTCTGTGCTCCGGATTCAGACTGTCACAACTACGACTACTAGTCTGGAAGACGGAAGATACCATGACGATAAGATGAGCCTTACAGGCCCTCAACACCGAAGCATCAAGACCCAAGCTGGAACCAACCCACAGCCCTCTACAGCCCTCCACAGCTATACTCTTGAGGCGTGGGCCGTAGGTTTGTGCGCTGTAGGCTTCGGGGGTGTTTCTATTGATGAGTTCGCAGTGCTGGTCCCCATGAGCATGCCAATGAAAAGCCTGAGATTAGCGGCTTGGATGTTAGGCCATTAGGCGGGAGCGATTGGAGCTCTTGGAACAAAGCCGGTGCGCCACGCTCGTCTTTGACAGCATCTCCGTGGTAAACAGTCTCTGGCAGCTCCGGATGCTTTATCGCTGCCATCGTCATCGTGTCCTAAACCCCAAACCGCTAAACCCCTAAACCCTTAACCGTCTAGCCTCCTTTGCCTTTTGGCACAACGTGTCACGCTCTGTCAGGATGGGGATTTGGCTTAGATCTTAGATATTGACTATACGAATACAAGCGGCCTATAAGGGAACATGACTACGACTTACTCAGAACCCAAAACCATTAAAAAAACCCTCATGAATCCCTTATGGGATCCCTTCTAGTAGCCCACCCTAAACCCTAAACCCCTAAACCCTAAACCCCTAAACCCTAAACCCCCTTAAAGGAGCCCTTGAAAGGAAGACCCCGAAAACCGGGGCGGCGGCGTCGCTGACCTTCAGGGCACCCTCGAGGAAGGGAGCAACCTGGGTGTACTCTCCGCCGACCCCTCGAACCTCCACCCTACTTAGGGTTGAGGGTTTAGGGTTTAGGGTTTAGGGTCTAGGGTCTAGGGTTTAGGGTTTAGGGTTAAGGGTTTAGGGTTTTAGGGGTTTAGGGTTTAAGGTTTAGGGTGTCGGGGTAACTATAGACCCTATAATCCCTAAACTCTGGACCCCTAAACCCTGCACCCCAATTAGACCCGATATCTTTATAAGACCTGAGCCCCTAAACCGTAAGCTTTACCGAAGGCTGGCAGCGAAAGCCCTAAGCGCTTTGTGGCTCTACTTATAAGTGGATATGTGTATGCACACATGTATATACATATATATATATATATACACATATACATAGATGTATATATATATATATACATATATATGTACATGTGTATATATATATATATATATATATGTGTGTGTATATATATATATATCTTTACATAAATATGTAAATACCTAGTAGCTAGGACTAGCAGCTAGGACCTAGTATCTAAGCTAAGCTAGGCATAGAGACACACATAGATGAGACCGATCGAAAGACAGGTACTAAGTCCAGATCCCTCCTTTTTGTTCCCTTGGGTCCGTATCGCCAGCCAGTCAACGAGGCCGTCTTCGACTCCCTTTTGAACAGCCAGCGTCCAGGGCCCCATGGCGTGCCCCAGTTGATAGGCCATGCGTCTCTTGCTGTTTGGAAGATTCGGGGGATGGGTTTCGGGTTCAGGGTTGAGGGAGCCACTAAAGCTAAAAGCCTCTAAACCCGTATCCCCGAACCGTGAACTGTGCCCCGAAGCCGAAGCCTCAAACGAAAATGGACCGAACCAGACGAGGATGTCTTGGTTCGTTCCATGCCATCTTCGGCTGGGTTAACGATTTAGTGTGGACTGAAACCACTAACCTCGTATCCCCCAAAACCTGAAAACCCCACAACCAAAAAGAACACCCTCCCCACACCCCAACCAAATTCAATAAGACCCTGGCCCCAAACCCTGAACGCCAACCCGAAACCCCTAACCCCTAAGCCCGCCTAAACCCCTAAACCCCTAAACCCCTAACCCTGAACTCAAAAGACTCCAAAGCCACCAGAGCTAAGACCCGAACACCTGCAGCTTACAACCCTAAACCCAGAAATCAACATTTTGGGGTTCAGGGCTTAGGGTGAGTAGAATGCCAGAGCCGACAAGGTACAGCCCTAACAACAGCAAGGCAGGCTTATAAAGCTTGCAAACTCTGACCCTAAACCCCTGATGCGCTAAGCCCCGATTTGGGGATTCCTCCGACAGAGGCCTGCTGCCGTGGCACGCTCGTCAGAAGCACGCCGGAGATCTCATGGGGAACTTTGTGCGCGGCACGCAACGATTGATTCTCCTTTGCCAGGGCCGGATTTGCTGGTTGACGGCACTTGGCTCAGCTGCGAGGCAGACCCTCTGTTTGATTGTTTGCCGTTGCTTGGCATTTTGGGCTCAAAACAAAACCTCGGCCTGCCCACTAAACCAGTGTCAGGCTTGGCAGTGTAGGGATTGTGGGTGTTCGACTTCCCAAAAAGGGTTCAGGCACCAACGACATAAAACTTCAGGCTGCTTTAAGCCTTTCAAAGTATTTGAAACAGAAGCTATACAATCACAGGTACATGAATGTATGTTCACCTCGCATGCAGCATTCAAGATGTGGTTTCGGAGTCCAAGCTCCACTGCCCTCACGCAGCGAATGCCCAGGCAGCTCGGGAACACCCAAACCCTAAACCCGAAACCCTAAACCCTAAACCCTGATATGTCGCAGCAGAGCAGTCTTCGGTTCAACGCAACCAAAGCCATGATGAAACAAGCCCCTGAACCCTAAACCCTAAACTACCCCAAGCTCACCCTACGGTAAAGGCAGCGACAGACTTAAATTAGGGTGCTTTCTGTAATCTGCATGGACGACTCGACGACTTGTGAGCCCGATGTACCAGATCCCGGCAGAATGCTCAGTTCCCTGCCATGGAGAAAAGCTTAAGCTTGCGATCTCGGTCTCAAACTCTAAACTCTTGAAGCCCTATTTAGGGTGTAGGGCTTAAGCTAAAAGTGCAACCGATCCCCAAAAGACCCCTCAAAGGTCTCCAGCTTGTGCCACCGGTACGGCACGGAGGGCGAGAGAGTATAGCACTCCCGGGCCTTAAACAAAGAGCAGGCACCAGGTTTCCGACTTACTGCTACCTACTACTACCTGCCGCCTACTACTACCACCCAGTACCACCTAAAACCGTCTAGGGCAACCTAGTACCACCTACTTCCACCTGGTACCACCTAGCTTCCTGCTCCTGCTCCTAGCCCTAGTATGTCCTCGTCGTACTCCTACGCCCGCTACTACTGCTGCTCCTGCTGCCGCCACGACAACGACGACGACGACGACGACTACCCACGCCCGTACCAACTACCTGGCGCCTGAACCCACCGTCATCATCGCTGGGATTGACTACGACATCACGAAAGTAGTGTAATAACCGAGAACAGTGGATGTGCTCTTAAAAAGTACGTCATCATGCCCTCGCCCACCCCCGCGTTGGCATTGGACTACGACATCACGAAAGTACTGTAGATACCGAGAAAAACGGATGTGCGCATAAAGTGTTTAGGAGAGGTAGCTGGTAGGTGGGGAGTCGCCTACTACTACTACTACTACTACTACTACTACTACTCCTGCTGCTGCTGCTGCTGCTACTACTACTACTACTACTACTTCCACTACTACTACTACTACTACTACTACTACTAATAAAAATAATAAAAATAATAGGTTTAATGCTGATACTGATACCAATACTATTGCTCCACCAATACCAAAACTACTGCTGCAGCTACTATTACCACGACTACCACTACCTCTGCCACTGCCACTACCACAACCACTACCACTACCACAACCACTACCACTACCACTACAACTACTACCACTACCACTACCA